CTCACGTCACATTAACTGATGAAATTTTAAAAGAGAAAGCGAAACAGTTTGCAAAGCTGTTGAATATATCCGAAGATATAATTTAAGTGTTCCGGTAAATGTTTTGAGTATTTACCGCTTTTTGCAACATCAGTATTACTCTTTCTTCTTAGGTCTGTTGTTTAATAAAAACGATATTACAAATAAAGTGTACAATTATACACACGTGACTTCAATATTACTGGTTCTCCCAGTGCAGGTTTCTCGGTCCCAACGACCTGCACTTAGGGAGTCCACTGTATTTATTTTTATAAAGCATGAATAACCAATAATAATAATGGCCAATAAAATGTCAAAGCGTCATCTCATCTCACGTTTTAATATCACGTGTTTTATTTTGTGAGTAACAATGTGTCATGGTTATTTATTTTTATAAAACGTGATATTAATGTAACACAGGTATTTGGTGAGTACAAAATCGGGTGACTGTGGCTTGACTGTAAAGGAAGTAAATCACGGACACAGCCTATAGGAGGTGTGACTATATAAGAAGTGACTGTAGGGGAGGCTGACTTAAACTCTACCAAGTATTGAGCAAACAAAAGAAACAAAGGAAAGAACCGTATGGTTTCGATGGCAAGTACATGTTTACTGAAACTGATGCAGGCTTTCTACATTTACTCACCAAATTTTAGTCCTCAAGTCATATTTCGAGTCAGCATCAGAGCGTGACGTTGTCCCGTCTTTGTCAGAATTTGTTCAGTTGAATACTGACTTCGTATCCAAGCCAACTCCACGCTCGAATCACCCTTTGGCACTAGAGAGTGCGTGGACAAAGCGTTTTGAGTCAACTGCGAAACTGTTGAATAGTAAGGAAAGTACATCTTAATTTTATCTGTTTAGGGCAATTCGCGTTAGGTTACGCCCTGACTGCGGGTGGTTAGGTAGATTGCACATACCCAAAGGTTGCGCATACCCAAAGGTTGTGCATCACCTCGCCCTAGTAGTGTTGTCGGAACCTCAGTTAGGTTACGCCCTGACTGCAGTGGTTAGGTATTTGCTGCATACCCCGGTTGCGCATCCCTCACCCCCAACATTGCGTGTTTAAGGTCTCGCCCTAGTAGTGTTGTCGGAACCTCAGTTAGGTCACGCCCTGACTGCAGTGGTTAGGTATTTGCTGCATACCCCGGTTGCGCATCCCTCATCCCCAACATTGCGTGTCGTATTCTCCTCGTCCCCCAACCTTGCCAACAGTGGTGTCCGTTTTGATAATAAGCATATTCTAAAAATTTTCAAAATTATGAAATGTAGGTGATTAAAGACAAGCCGACTGGTCTTGTGTCATTGAAAGAAGGAATATGGTAGGTTACAAGATCTCCTATGGCCTGATCAGCTAATCAACCACTAGTAGTTGCTCATATGTAAAATAAAACTTTACTAATGCAACTGGTCATGATGTAATAAGTAAACTTGTTTAGTAAAACTTCAGCATATTATTTACAACTTTCACTGATGTTGTAACAATATTGAACGACGGGTGACCGTTTACATTGAAGATAAAGATTCGAAAAAACTTTCGTTCTAATGTAACACAAAGAAGTTGTTATCTTGTGTCCTTAAGTAAAACTTTCCTCACATATCAAAATACGTAGATATTTTTTTACAGATTGTTTGGTTCAGATTTCGTTGAGTAATTACTTAAGATATAATACAATATCCAATTTTATTAATACTATTCTTTACTGTCTATAACAATGCATCGCATCCAGTTGTTCATTGCAAACTAAAAGTTGTCTATCAGCAAGTCATCAGGTGACGTGCGATTTGCATTTGTCTCGTCATCCGAGAGTCATCAGGATACTTCTATTTTTCACATCACTCGAATAACAATTGTAGCAAATTTTTGTCGTCACCCACATGCGACATAATGTATGCCGGTTTGGTGACTATGATCGATTTCCGTCGCGTCGTTAGGCCACATGGGCAAAAAAATATATATCTGATAATGTATTTAGTTATGTATTGTTATTTGCTGGCCCAATGTGAGGGCTATGCCCGAACCTGGCACGTAATTCCTCTATGAGGGCCAGGTTTGAGGTACATAGTGCTGAAATAGTATTCGTGACCTGGCTTGCTTGATGTACTCGAATGCAGATAGAGAATGAGGCACGTAGTGTCGAATTGCTAACTGTTATAATGCACTCGAAGTAGTGCCGAATTGTTAGCAGTTATTTGTTAGACATCCAAAGCATAATTTTATATTATATATATCTGTAATAATTTATTTTGACATGCTACCGATCCAGGATAAGGCACTACGTGCTGAATATTATCTCACTTGGTAGACACCCAAAGCATAATTTTTATAATATATATCTTTCTGTAATAATTTTACTTTGGGTGTCTACCATCAGTATACTATGTTTTGCGATCCCATACTTTATTAGTGGTCGACATCAAATATTTATGTAAGTCAGAAATATACCCAATAATTCGTGAAAATATATCGTATTTTTATTCCGAGGCTCTTGGTCTAGGACGATATATGCAGAATCATACGTCAATACACAGATAATCCTAAAAGAGCATCCAAGATTATTGATAAGCATTTGCGGGAGCGGGATTTTAATTAAGTAAAATTTTTTCTCAAAATATAGGGAGAATATCATAGGACCCAATAATTTTTATCAAACAGCATCTATTTAATTGAGATGTGGTATTATAACGATCTACATATCGGAAAACTCAAAGAATTGGAAATTATATAAGCAATCAGGCTGTTAGACATATTTTTTATATCTAATAATGTATGAAATTCTTATCGAAGTTGCAATATCAATTTGGCTTCCGTTAACTAAAGGTTAATAACAGGTATTCAAAAATTTAGTGAGTCAGGTCTCATCCCCAATATCTAAAAACTTTAACGAATTCCCTGGTTCATGAACATATCCGTAGCATCATTACCAACAAGGGCATATTCAACTTGATTACCAGGATCATTTTCCCAGAGTAAAATTTTGGCTTGAATGCAGTTTTATTCTCGAAAGCTCAGGATGGTAGTCAAAAACTTGATTGATGACGCAATCGCAAAGTTATTGTCGCTTAATATAAAAGCGGGTGGTTATTATTGGGATTGTCATTACTAGATACTGGTATCCAA